ATAAATTCCCACGTGATGATATGCCCACTTCGTTGGGCTATCATTTGTGGCCAGGTCGCTTCTGATAAAGAGAAGTACATAGCTTCAGTGGGCTTTGCCTGGTAGGAAAGGCAAATTGTGTTTTGTTTGTTTAGGTGGACTTGGCTACAAATGAATGCGGTGTGTAGACATCTGAGCTGGGGAGCCAAATGCGTCTGGGCTTAGTTCTGACCACACCATCCACAGCACTTGTCCCAACCAGGGCCTTTTTATCCAATAGGCACAGTAGGTACCGTGCCTAAGGCCCACTCACTAGCCCAACCACCCACTCACTCGCCCACCCACCCACTCACCCACTCACCCGCCCACCCACTCACCCACTCGCTCGCCCGCCCGCCCGCTCGCCCACCCACTCGCCCACCCACTCACCCACTCACCCACCCACTCACCCACTCGCCCGCCCACCCACTCGCTCGCCCACCCACTCACTCGCCCACCCACTCGCCCACCCGCTCACCCACTCACTCGCCCACCCACTCACTCACCCACCGACCAGAGCCGTATTATCCAATAGGCCACATTAGACACTGCCTGGGGCCTACGGATACAGAATGTGACTGTTTTTTGTTTGTATGATGAAAAAAATGCAACTAAGATATCTTTCTTGAATAAATATATTTACATAGCAAGGATAAGCGCAGTGTTTATACAAAGAGGCAGAGTCCTGCCTATCGTTTTTTATTTCATAAGGTGAGAGAGAAATTAACACCGGAGATTCACTTTTCGAGATTTTTAGCATTAAAAAAATTAGTAAATAAACATCTTTAAATTGTGTTTTTTGCACAATCTCCTTCTCAATAGAGAGTAGCAGTGCAAGGCAAAACAAGGCGGCGTTGTCCTACGGTTGATCGGAGACCGTTTTTGTTGTCGGCTTTAGCGAGTGACATCCGTGGTAGCGGTAACATGGGGCAGCAGCAGCAGTAGAGCGTTATCACTGAAGGCCTACAAGAACCTTCATCCGGCGCTGGTCCCAACGGTTTGTGTCGGCTGCCTGGGGCGACATTTGTCTTTGTGCACGTGTGTGGAGAGCGTTGGCATCGTGCTTATATATCACCAGATGACGTGGGGTTACCATTGCCCATATAAACACCTGACCTTATCGCCCAGCCACAGACCTTCACGTGCCCGTCGTGTGTCGCGTCCACCTCACGGAGGATATCTAAAAGATTCGCACGTGCTCCAGTGTGCGCACCGTCCGTCTGCCCCAGCCGCGTTGCGTCGATCGAGTCATGGTCAGACTGGAAGTGCTTTCCTTGAAGGGCGTATCAACTTCGTGAAATGCGGAAGACCTAGAGTTTTGGATGCTGTTGGTGGTGATGGCGGCGATGAGACTTGAGAGAGAGCTTCGAACTTTTGATATTCTTCCAGTGCGAGGCAGGCGTGGAAGTTCTATGTTTAGCAGACACGTTCTGCAGTAGCTTTAGATAGGGGGCCATGTTGCCGTGTGTAATCCCAAATGAGTAATTTCTTGTTTGCTTATGCATATGACGGTAATGATTATACTGTTGTTTGTACTGTTGATATCGTGATGATACTCGCAAACTCGAAGGTTGATGATACTGCTGTTGCCACATGTATTCGCGGAGCCGATTGATATCGGCGCAGCAGCGTGTAAATATGGTGCTGTTGATGGGACTGCCAAGGCCGGATGAAGGTTCTTGTAGGCCCTAGGGCTCTTCTGTTTCGTAGGTCTTCAGTGATAACTCTCTGCAGCTGGTACTGCTGCTGCTGCTGCCCTATGCTACGACCGCCGCTGTCATCCGTGTGGTTGTGCAATAAAACGCAATTGAAAGATGTTTGTTTAACACGTAGGCTTTCGCGACCAATATTATTCATAATAAAGGTTTTTGGGTTAGATTGCATTATTTATAAATGTGTCGTAACCCTCCACCACCCGACACGGCCAATCAGCAAAAAAAATGTCACGTAGACAAAGGACAAATAATTAACTACTTTAGCCCACCGGTGTGTTGTTGAAGAGTGAATCCACAACATTTACAGTTTGAGTACGACGTTTCCCTGGTAATTACATTCAGCATCATCGGGCAATTCGCCAGAATTATTTGTCCTTTGTCAACGTGACACTTTTTTTGCTGATTGGCCGTGTCGGGTGGTGGAGGGTTACGACACATTTATAAATAACGCGGTCTAACCCAAAAACCTTTATTATGAAAGATGTTTATTTGCAAATTTTCCAATTAAAGTTAATTTCCAGTGCGAATTCCTCTCACCTTGTGAAAAAAAAACACGACCGACATGCCTCTGCCTCTCTGTAATAAACACTGTGGCTATCCTTGTTATATACATATATATTTATTCAAGAAGACATCTTGGTTACATTTCTTATCATGCAAACGACAAAAAAACATGATCACAGTTTTTTTCTGTAGGCCCTAGGCACAGTGCCCACTGTGGCCTATTGACTAATATGGCCCTGGTGGTTGGCTGGGCGAGTGGGTGGCTGGGCGAGTGGGTGGCTGGGCCAGTGGGCGGCTGGGCCAGTGGGCGGCTGGGCGAGTGGGCGGCTGGGCGTGTGGGCGGCTGGGCGAGTGGGTGGCTGGGCGTGTGGCTGGGCGAGTGGGTGGCTGGGCGTGTGGCTGGGCGAGTGGGTGTCTGGGCCAGTGGGCGGCTGGGCCAGTGGATGGCTGGGCGAGTGGGTGGCTGGGCCAGTGGGTGAGTGAGGAGGCCCTAGGCATAGTGCCTGCTGTGGCCTATTGGATAACACGGCCTTGGGTACTACTGATCCTATAGCTGATGAAGCTGCAGAAAAATATACGTACAGTAAAACCTTGGATTGCCAGCATAATTCGTTCCGGAAACATGTTTGTAATCCAAAGCACTCGTATATCAGTTGTGATCACGTGACGCTCGCAGGCAAAGCGTATATACGTATTACTCATATTGCAAGACCCTCGCTCGTTTAGCAAATTAATATTTACTTACAATTTTTTGCTCGTCTTGCAAAACACTCGCAGACCAAGTTACTCGCAATCCAACGTTTTACTGTACTGTCATTTCCGCACCATTCACATCCCAGTTATTTTGCTTCAAAAACAAACCAAACGAGACATTCCGCCGCACTTTGTTTTGTTTACAATGCGGCTGCCTTGTTTACAACGCGCTCGTTAGTAAAAGGCTCGCAAACCTTTTGACCGGATATTCATACGATCATCTCAAAGGTTTGTATGATGCAGCCACTGTCTGTTGATCCCGTGTTTTCCCAGTAACTCGGGTGTTCCCCACCTTGACAAATCCCCCACTCTTTGTAATCGTCAGCTTTTCTCATAATCCCGTACAACCTTACCACGGTGTCCCACCACCAGATCATCATAATTATCATTGCGTATTCATAGCTTGCCTTCCATGCCCGTACATCTCGAGAGGACCTGGTGCAGGGTGCAACGTAACCATCAGCAGCGTCGGATTTATACACGCATTTATTTAACTCACAGCACATACACATACACAGAACAGCCAGCCGCTGTACACCTACTCACAGCACATACACACACAGAACAGCCAGCCGCTGTACACCTACTCACAGCACATACACACACAGAACAGCCAGCCGCTGTACACCTACTCACAGCACATACACACACAGAACAGCCAGCCGCTGTACACCTACACACAGCATACACACACATAACAGCCAGCTGCTGTACACCTACACACAGCACACACACACAGAACAGCCAGCCGCTGTACACCTACTCACAGCGCACACACACATAGAACAGCCAGCCGCTGTACACCTACTCACAGCACATACACACACAGAACAGCCAGCCGCTGTACACCTACTCACAGCACACACAGAACAGCCAGCCGCTGTACACCTACTCACAGCGCACACACACAGAACAGCCAGCCGCTGTACACCTACTCACAGCACATACACACACACACAGAACAGCCAGCCGCTGTAAACCTACTCACAGCACACACACAGAACAGCCAGCCACTGTACACCTACTCACAGCACATACACACAGAACAGCCATCCGCTGTACACCTACTCACAGCACACACACAGAACAGCCAGCCACTGTACACCTACTCACAGCACACACACAGAACAGCCAGCCGCTGTACACCTACACACAGCATACACACACAGAACAGCCAGCCGCTGAACACCTACACACAGCATACACACACACAGAACAGCCAGCCGCTGAACACCTACACACAGCATACACACACACAGAACAGCCAGCCGCTGTACACCTACTCAGCACACACACACACAGAACAGCCAGCCGCTGTACACATACTCACAGCACATACACATACACACAGTATTGTCAGCGTTATCAACACCAGAACCATTACCACTATTTATTCAGCAGTAGCAGTGCAATATGTAAGTAGCATCGGCATCGTAAGTAACCGCATCAACATCAGCATCGTATCTGTCCCTCGATCAGCAGTGGGCATTACTCTGCCAGTAGGGAGCGATGTTGCTATTAAGTGCTGTTTGCGAGCACCTATTAAGGTCACCGCGGTCCGTAAGGGGCTAGTGTGTGGCCAGCACCACGCCCAGCTACCTTTGTCTCCCCAGCGTTGATGTTTTCAGACTTCCCCAAGTGCTCTACTCATGTAAGGCTCGTTCGACCTCGGAAAGAGGGCCAGGACTGGTTCAGATAATCACCGTCCAAAATTAGCCCTGGGCGGGGATCGAGCTCGGGGTGCTGGGTTTGCGGTGCCGTTTTCCCCTGCACAGCAACGACAGCCGCCATCCGCCGCAGAGTGGTGGTGGCATCACCACGGCGCTTGTGCCGCGTGCCAGGTGAAATTTTGGGCCGTAACGTGAAGCGTCGAAGGCTCTCTTGCGCGCAGGAGGTAACGGGACGTACCTGGGTGTTCTGGTTGTTGGCCGACCCCGGGTGACTGCCAGATGCACCGGCCACGATCCCCACCGCGCCAGCTCACTGTGCAACGCACCCGCGCGCACGCAGGCACCCGCTGCCGGCTGGGCATGGACAAGCACGATGAAGCGGACTCGATGGAATTCATCGACTGGGATCGGATGCCCGAGCACGGCAACGATGGCGGCGGCGGCGGCGGTGGCAACGTGGACGAAGCGTTCTTCCGTTCGGTCGAGCAGATGCAGCTCAAGCTCATGGCCAGGTGAGAGTGTGTGCGGCCTCTGCGCGTGCCTCCCAACCCCCGCCTCAATACCCCACGATGGCCATGGCTGCGTCGGCATTGCCACCAACAGCGACATTGTCGCCAGCGGCGCCGTCAACGCCGAAGCCACATGGCCTTAACAGACTGTTGGGGCAAGTGCTGTTAGCGAGTAGCAGCACCTATGAAGCCCGGCACGGCACACTAGGGGGGTGGGTGGCCAACACCACGCACGGCCGACTTTGTCTCCCCAGTGGCGATGTTTACTGCACACCGCTACACCAGGTACTCATTTAAGGCCGAGTCGAACACGGGGAGGCCCAAGACCGGCTCGGATAATCCTCACCGGTGTTGGCCGTGAGCGGGAATCGAACTCGGGTTGCCGGGTCCGTAGCGCAGCGCTCTAACCGCTACGCTACCGCTCGCCACCACCGTCGTCACCACCGTCACCACTGTCACCACCGTCGTCGCCACCGTCGTCACCACCGTCACCACCGCCGCTCGTCTCACCGCCGTTGCCCTCCGCCACGCAGGTCCGGCCGTTTCTCCACCGAGCACTCGTCGCGTGCCGCCTTCTACCGCCACGCCCTCTCCTCGCTGCCGTGCCGGCTCGTCACGCCGGACGCCTCCGTGTACCGCGACTCCGCTCCCCGCCTCTCCCGCCTGCTCCCCTCCTCCGGCTCGGCCGCCCCGCCTACGCCGGGCTTCGCCGACGGCTGGGCCACGCCGCGCTACTGCCTGACGGCGGCGGGCCGGCTCGCCGCGGCGAGGGTCCTGCGCGCCGTTGAGCTGCACTTCCCGGACGTGACGTTCTGCCCGGCGCTGCCGGCCACCGTGGCGCTGCTGGCGCACTACTCGCGCTCCGAGGCCGAGCTGTTCGCCGGCGCCGCCAGGATCCTGGCGCACGGCGGGGGGGCGGCCGACGAGGTGGGCGAGGTTGAGCTTCAGATGCCGCGAGTGCTCGCGGTGCGAAAGCCTCTTTGACGCGTACTGCAAGTTTTATGCTAAATAAAACAAAATAACTATGTTTTAGCAGGTAAGGCCCTCTTTCAGAAGCCACCTGGCCACAGATGATAGCTCAACGATGTGGCGTAGCGTGTAGGCAATGTGTACAGCAGCCAAATACTATAAACGCATGTTACTAAATGTGGAGGGAAAAACCGGAGGACCCGGAGGAAAAAATCCGCACGGCCGCGCGGGGAGAGAGAGAGAGAGAGAGACGCTAACTCCAAAAATACAGCAGGCGTCAGGGTCGGGGTCGAACTCACGACCTCCTGTATACCGGGCGAGGTAGTTAACATCTCTCGTTAAAGAGTAGTTTAAATAGTTTACCGATTCTGCTACTGCTGTTGCTGCTACTGCTGTTATAGAAGCAGGCGCCGCGCCTGCACCTACTGGACCAGACGTTCCTGGGCTTCGAGGCATCCTGCATGACCTTTGGCGACCTCGCTGCCAAGTACTGCCCCAGCGCCCACCGCATCATCGTCTCCCGTGAGCAGGACGTGCTGCAGGTGGGGACCGGCCCTCACCTCAGTGTGCTTTCGACGTACACCGTGTATCATACACTATGTGGTCTGTGCGTCGGTGTGTCTTTGTTACGCTGTATTTTTCTGTGTGTGTGTGCGCTGTGAGTAGGTGTACAGCGGCTGGCTGTTCTGTGTGTGTGCGCTGTGAGTAGGTGTACAGCGGCTGGCTGTTCTGTGTGTGTCCGCTGTAAGTAGATGTACAGCGGCTGGCTGTTCTGTGTGTGTGTGTGCTGAGTAGGTGTACAGCGGCTGGCTGTTGTGTGTGTGTGCACTGTGAGTGGGTGTACAGTGGCTGGCTGTTCTGTGTGTGTGTGTGCTGTGAGTAAGTGTACAGTGGCTGGCTGTTCTGTGTGTGCGCTGTGAGTAGGTGTACAGCGGCTGGCTGTTCTGTGTGTGTGTGTGCTGTGAGTAAGTGTACAGTGGCTGGTTGTTCTGTGTGTGTGCTGTGAGTAGATGTACAGCGGCTGGCTGTTCTGTGTGTATGCTGTGAGTAGGTGTATAGCGGCTGGCTGTTCTGTGCGTATTTGTTGTGAGTAGGTGTACAGCGGCTGGCTGTTCTGTGTGTGTGCGCTGTGAGTAGGTGTACAGCGGCTGGCTGTTCTGTGCGTATTTGTTGTGAGTAGGTGTACAGCGGCTGGCTGCGCTGGCTGTTTGAGGACCTGCCCTTTGAGTTTGCCGTGCGCGTGTTCGACTGCTTCCTGCTGGAGGGACACAAGGTGCTGTACCGCACGGCGCTCGCCCTCCTCAAGCTGTTCAAAAGCAGCGTGAAGAAACGGGCGCTCACAAACAGCCCCGGCCCCACCAGCCAGGACGGTGTGGCCCGATTTTCGTTAACACCACATCTTAACACCGACGTGCCAAGTTGATACGCCGGCGCAGAATCTAAACACCCACGCCGAGTCTAAACACCGACGCCGAGCCTAAACACCCACGCCGAGTCTAAACACCCACGCCGAGTCTAAACACCCACGCCGAGTCTAAACACCCACGCCGAGTCTAAACACCCACGCCGAGTCTAAACACCCACGCCGAGTCTAAACACCCACGCCGAGTCTAAACACCCACGCCGAGTCTAAACACCCACGCCGAGTCTAAACACCCACGCCGAGTCTAAACACCCACGCCGAGTCTAAACACCCACGCAGAGTCTAAACACCCACGCCGAATCTAAACACCCACGCAGAGTCTAAACACCCACGCCGAGTCTAAACGCCCACGCCGAGTCTAAACACCCACTCAGAGTCTAAACACCCACGCCGAGTCTAAACACCCACTCAGAGTCTAAACACCCACGCCGAGTCTAAACACCCACGCCGAGTCTAAACACCCACTCCGAGTCTAAACACCCACGCCGAGTCTAAACACCCACGCCGAGTCTAAACACCCACGCCGAATCTAAACGCCCACGCCGAGTCTAAACACCCACGCCGAGTCTAAACACCCACGCCGAGTCGTGCACCGTGCTGGCCTTTATCGGATAACAGCACTTGTCCCTAAAGTCTGTTGAGGCTCTCCGGGGGATCTTTGTGCGTTGCTCTGTCTCTCTCTGCAATCTCTGTCTCTCTGCGTGCAGGAGTGTGCGGAGAGATCCGCTCGTTTGCTCGCTCCCTCTCTCTGCACGTGTCCCCGACGCGGCTTTTGGACCGAGGCTTCCGCGTGCGTCTGCTGTCCCGCCGGGAGATCTCCCTGCTGCGCCTGGCCAACGAGAGCGCCCTGCAGGCGGCAGGGATCTCGCGCGTGCATCGCAGGTACTCGCGCACGCACGCACGTACACGCCCACGCACGTACGCGCATGCACGCACACACACGCACGCGCACACACGCACGCGCACACACACGCACACACACGCACACACACGCAAATACGGACGTGCACATGCACGCACGCGCACACACACAACGGCAACAACAGCCGCCATCCGGTGATGTCACCACAGCGCTCGTGCCAGGCCAGGCGCACTCCGAGGCCGTCGCGTGACGTGTCAAAGGCTCGCTGGCAGGAGGTCACGGGACACACCCGGGTGCCATGGGTTGACTGGCAGATGCATCACCTGTGCACCCTACTATGCCAAACACACACTTGCACGTACACACACACACATATATACTGGACATCTGAGTAAGAGCTTCAAGGCTTGTCAGATTCCTCCAGTATAAATAAAGATTCTGATTCTGGTATAGCTAGGCGGCGGTGGTGGCTATGTACGTGGACTGTATGCCAGCGCTGTGGAAGGTTGGTGGATTGTACGAATGTTGTGAAACTTCCTTCCCGTGGGCGACGAGGAGTTGCAATGCCCTGGCTTTCCCGAAGGGCAGTACGGCAAAAAATGTGGACTCCCCCTGTTCCGTCTGTATGGGATAGAGAGTTTCCCCCTCGCACGCGTGGGGTTTCTCTCTCCCAGGGTGCTCCGGTTTCCCACCACATGCAAGCGCTCGTGAATTGGCCGATGAGAACACCTGCATACGTAGAGGGTCACAGAGCTTGGGCATTTGTTGGCACTGGATGCTCTGCTGCCTTCCTCGCTTGTCTGGTACCACGCGCCTCTGAGTCGCCCTCTCTCTCTTTCTCTCTGTCTTCGAGAGAGCGAATGCTGCGCAGGTGACAATTTACAAGTTGAAATTACTATTGTGATGACTGCTACACTCCCCCTGTACAGCCAATGCAGGCTGTTGTTGGGGCAAGTGCTGCGAGTGAGCACCTATGAAGCCCAGAATGGCACGTGAGAGGTGGTGGTGTTGCCGGCACCACGCCTGGGTGCCAAGTTTCACGGGCACAAGACCTATGGTTGGCCGAACTTCCCCCGTGTGGGACCACAGAGCTTGGGAAATTGTCGGTGGCTGGCCTTGCCGCTTTTACATTATTTAGATCAGTGGTTCCTATCCTTTACTGCAGCGTTGCACCCCTTCGATTCTCGCTCATTAAAACGTGTGTAATGTTAATAAAGACATGGGGTTTGATGAAACAAAGTAAGTTGTAACTCTTGCCCCGTGCTTAATTTGTGTTTTCGGTGATTTACCTTTTAAGAAAATCTGTCCGTGTCTCGCTACCCCCAGGGGGTGTGTGGCACCCCAGGTTCAGAACCATTGATTTAGATGATTACTTTGCTGCTATTTAATTTCCACTTCGCAAGCCACTTCGTCGAGAGCTCTCATTTTGTGGCCAGGTCGCTTCTGAAACAGAAGTTGAATAGCTGGGTGTGTTTCACCGTTTCTGGCAATTAAACAGGAGGAGTTGTGTGAAGATGTTTGAACACCAAATGGATACCTTCCGCAAGGCATCAAGTCTGCATTAACCGCACACGGTGCTTGTGGTGAACATGCAAAAAAAAACATGCTCTCATAATTCTATATGCATTGTCTTTGAAACTGATTGGCCCTACGCCACCAGTGCTGGACCAGAGAACTCCAAAGGGCGGGCAGCACAAAGTGGAGTCGTGCTTCGTGATTACAGACTCCGACGGAGACCCAGGGTAGAATGTTCAGGGCCGCTTGCCGTTTGTTCACGCCGACATCCACACTCCTCTTTCTGTGTCGCGTACCCCCCAACTCCCTGACTGTCGCCCTCTCTCCTGACTCCCTCCACCTTCGTCAGGGCTTCCCCCCCCCCCCCCCCCCCCGTTACTCATCCTACCGTAGCCTCCATTGCGCCTCCGGCCCAGGAGCCTTTCTCCCTGCTACCTGGCTCCTCTCTCTCTCCGACTCCTCTTTCTCACTCTCTCCTCCCCTTAGCCCGGGCTTCACCCTTTCGCCTGGCTCTCTCCTCCTCCTTCTACCTGGGGTCTTTCTACTCCCTCTCTCTCTCTCGCCCTTCCGGCACTCCCCTTTCTGCTGGAACCCCTTCCCGCGGTCGCCCTTCGTTGGTTCCCCGCGGTGGTCCTCTACACGAGTACCAGAAGACTTGTGGCTCGGGTCGAGCAGTTATATCCGTGGGACCTTTTTCATTATTTTGGTACTGGCAAAAAGGTCCCATAGATAGCTCAGTGGGGCTGTACCTGGCAAGATAGAAATGTGGCTTAGTTTTATTTGTACAGGTAGTCCCCGACTTGCGATGGTCCGACTTACGATATTTCGATCTTACGATGGCGATAGCGATACGACAAAATGGTCAAATATTTTTAATTTCGCGCGGCAGGCAAACGCAGCGGCGTACTGCAAGTTACGATACTGTAACTTGATCATCGCCATCCTCCTCTTCCGACAACTAAGTTAATGTAGCCATCAACAACCCGACATCGTTCATGTATGCAGACGACGGACAGAATGTTGGTGAGTACAGTTACAATATGATACGTTACGATACGTTCAATGCACGTGTGATACGTAGCTTTAGCGATTTCATTTTAGGGTTACCACGATACATACGTTCAATGCATGTTAAAAGTTTTTTTTTTTAATAGCAGATAGGATTATTTCCTGAAAAAAACTTTCTATGAAATTGCGGTTCATATAGGTAGGCTAAGAATTTTTCCTTGTTTTTTTTACTTTAAATTTTACTGTGCAATACAGTATTGTCATTAATAAATACGTACAGTATATAGTTAATACCGTACGGTACTGTAAATTGCTCTGTTTTGCTAAATTATCAACATTCTTTAAGACTCCTGGGTAAGCTAAGGCCATCTTCGGCCTTACGATATTTTTGACTTACGATGGGGCCGTCGTAACGCATCTCCATTGTAAGTCGGGGACTACCCTGCCAGTTAAAAGGGGTAAAACCTATTACTATATCTTGTTGCTGGCAAAGGAGGTCTCATAGTGTAAATGCTCACCCCGAGCCCTCAATACTCTGATAGTGCGCTGTTTTTGAGTTGTACGCCTTTTGGCGTCTTCTGGTCCAACACCTGTGGAGACGAGACTCTAAGAAAAGCCGTCTCGGGTGTGGACCAATCAAATTCAAGGACAGTGCCAATATTATTATCAGAGTTGTCTGTTTTGTTTGCATTTTGACTGCTTGTGTTGTGGTTATTGCAAACATGATGCCTTGAATAAAGGTGTCAGTTTTTGTGCCAGTTAAAATGGTAAAACCTATTACTATATCTTGTTACTGGCAAAGGAGGTCTCATAATGTATATATATTCTGTTAAGTGATTTGTTTACCTTCCGTGTACTTTGCACCCATACCGTGTTTTTGTATTTGTTTGTCATTGTAACTTTCTGACCCCGTGGCCCCCACTGGATATCTGTGACCAAGAGCTTCATAGCTCATCGGATTCCCCCAGCATGAATAAATACGATTCTCATTCCGCTCGTCTGTGGTTTCCCGCAGAACCGCGCACTTGACACAAATTCGACCGCGATTTGAAATGCGAATTCAAAGAATGACGCCGTATAAATATGAATGGGCGTCATCGTCATCATCATTACTATTATACAAATATAAATAATAATTCTACAGCCCTTTGTTAGTCCACTGCTGGATGAGGGTGCCTACACGCCCTATCAGTTATCGGGGTTGTTTGACCATACTTCACCATGCCGGTCAATGTTTTTTGGTGAAGGGGGGGGTATAGAGGCAAGGTAGTGGTAGGGTTGTGTCCACGTGCGTCGTGCGCTCTACACTTTGCGTGCAGTTTGGCTTCGACGAATGAATCTCTTATCTTCTCAACTGTTGTCTTTCCCTCTGCGAAACCGACTGCTTTTCTTCCGATCTTTAAAACAAGCCCTCACAAGCAAAAGTAAGATTTACTTTTCATTCGGAGTTGCCGATGATTTGCAATCCTGCGGACGCCTGTGATCACGTTGTTGGTACTGCCGCTGCTGATCTTGAGAGTCGGACTGCCACCACTGCTGTTGTCATCGCTGAAATTGCTGCTGCTAGTGCTGCTGTTTTTTTTGCCGACTTTGCTATTCATGGCACACACTCAAACTACGGCCGCTGACACTGATGTTACGCTTGCTACAATTCCTCTCTGCTCCTGTTCCTGACTCGCTGTGACCGTAACTGACGTCGCTATGAATGCCGCTGGGACTGACGCCTTTGCCACTATATTCTTGGTTCTTTCGGTAAAGTCACCACGTAGAAGGGAAACAATAAAATAATAAAAATATAAAACAATTTCCCTTCTACGTGACTTTACACCACTGTTATATATTCTTGGTTCTTTCGGTAAAGTCACCACGTGGAAGGGAAACAATAAAATAATAAAAAATATAAAACAATCAAATTCTCGCGACGTTTCGACTGCAACACGAGCAATCATCATCAGGTGTGAAAACCACAGCAAGAAAATTTGAAAAAAGTGGCGTTTTTTTTCTTAACGCTTCTTAACCTTTGCTGCTGTTGGTACTGAAACGCCCACTAACACTGCTACGTACGGCGACTGTTACTTCCGCTACTGACACTGCTACTATTTTATTAGTACTCCTAGTAATGAAAAATACCTTAATAGCAAAAAATATATAAAAACACAGCGGTGTGCTGTACTAGTAACGATTAATGCACGTTCTGTTCACGTGACAAACCTTACTAGTTGGCCGTGCCGGGTGTTGGCGGGTTTAACGACACAACATTTATACATTTACGCGATCCAACCCAAAAAAAAAACCTCTTATTACGGATGGTATTGGTCGCGGAAGCCCTACTGCGTGTTAAACTGACTGCTGATGCCGCCGCCTGCTGCTGATGTACCATCGTGTGTTGCTGCGACGTTCCGACCCCGTGGCGCCCCCGTTTACTGGACATCTGCGTGTGTGCGTGCGTGCGTGTGTGTGTGTTAAAAACAAAAAAGTGCTTCACAGCTCTTGTGATTCTAATGATGCTGATCGATCGTGATGCCGCCGTCGCTCGCTCGCTCCCTCGCAGGCGGAGCGTGCAGCTGTCCGTGGACCTGAGCGCGGTGCACTCGGACGTGGTGTCCGCCCAGCAGATGCACGCCGTGTGGTCGTGGATCCCGGAGAGGTTCACGCTCACGCGCCCGCTGCTGCTCTTCACGACCGCGGAGCACGGGTACAGCCTCAGCAGGTAGTGGGCCCAGCTCTCATTCGTGGCGGCCCAGGTCGCTTCCGAAGGAATAATAAGTGGTGAATTAGCTGCGTGGGTTTTTCCCCTTTGTGATGTTTAAACAAAAAGTTAATTTCTATTCTCGGCTCTTTCGGTGAAGGCACGTAGAAGGGAAGCAATGCAATAATAAAAATAATGTGAAACGATATAATTCTCAACGACGTTTTTTTTTTCAAATTTTCTCGCCGTGGTTTCCGCACCCGACGATGATCGCTCGTGTTGCAGTCGAAACGTCGTGAGAATTTTGTTGTTTTATATTTTTATTATTTTATTGTTTCCCTTCTACGTGGTGACTTTACCGAAAGAGCCAAGAATATGAATCCCTGCAGTCACGAAAGCTTTAAATCAAAGTTCATTTCTGTTCAGTGATTGGTTTACCTTTCCGAAACGATGCACTCCCGTCGCGTATCTTGTGTTGTTGTTGTTGTCACGTCCTGACGCCGTGCCCTGACGGGACATCTGTGATAAAGAGCTTTACAGCTCTTCGGATTCCTCCTGCTGCTGCGGTATGAATAAATAAACATTCTGATTGTGTCCATCATAAAAGTTTTAGGGTTAGATCGCGTCGGTATAAATGTTGTGTCGTAACCCTCCACCACCCGACACAGCCAATTAGTAAGGGATTTGTCACGTAAACAGAACCGTGCCAGTTTCGTTACATCCAGCATCATCGGGCGATGCCTGATGATGCTGGATGTAATTACCAGCGAAACGCCGTACTACTCAAACTGTAAATGTTGTGGTTTTACTCTCCAATGCACCGGTGGGCCGAAGTAGTAAACTAATTGGCGTTTTGTCTACGTGACAAATCCCTTACTAATTAGCCGTGTCGGGTGGTGGAGGGTTACGGCACAACATTCATACCCGCGCGATCTAACCCCAAAAACCTTTACTATGAATAAATATTGGTCGCGAAAGCTTGCTACGTGTTCAGCCGATTCCGATTCTGTGGTCACGTGAACGTCGACATACGGCAAGATGATCTCGATCCCCCGCACCCCCAATCCTCAATAGACCTTGACCGTCATGGCAACTCTGGTCATCGTCGCAGCAGTAGCGGCAGCGGCAGCAGCGGCGGCAGCTTTTGGCTCTGCCATCGAACAACGAAAGCAGTCACCGCATCGCGCGGCGCTTTCGGGTGCGCTTCCGCGACCGTCTGGAACGCTCTTCCTTCCCGATATTGCGAAGCCATATTTTAAAACGTCATTCGGATTGTGATCATTGTTTTTTTTTACCCTTTTATCTGGCAACAAAACTGACACCTTTTTTTTACAAGGAGTCATGTTTGCGTTGACCACAATACCTGCGGTCGGGAACGCAAGCAAGAACACAACTCTGATAATGTATGTGGCACTGTCCTTGAAATTGATTGGTCCACACCCGAGACAGCTTTCCTTAGAGCCTCGTCTCACATGGTGTTGGACCAGAAGACGCCAAAAGGCGCACAACACCATGTGAAACGAGGCTCTAAGGAAAGCTGTCTCAGGTGTGGACCAATCAATTTCAAGGACAGTGCCACATACATTATCAGAGTTGTTATTTTTTTGTTTGCGTTCCGACCGCAGGTATTGTGGTCAATGTAAACATGACTCCTTTTTTAAAAAAAGGTGTCAGTTTTGTTGCCAGATAAAAGGGTAAAAAAAAACAATTCTCATATTTTGTTACTGGCAAATGAGGTTTCCAATGGTCATTCAGATTGACAAACTCCTCTCTTTTTAGAACTCCTTTTTGTGTTTAGCTTGTTGTCCTTCCCCCCGCGCCTCCGATTAGCGCGGTTGGCTACGTGCGGCGTGGAAGAAGTTCTACATACGTACATTAAGAGGCTGTTGGGGCAAGTGTTGTTAGCGAGCATCTGATGAAGGCCCGGCACAGCACACAAAGGGGGTGGGTGTGTAGCCAGCACCACGCCCAGCCGCATTTGTCTCCCAGGAGGTGGTGGGTTTTGGGGTAAACGTATTCATTTAAATATCAATGTATATCCATTACCCGTTGGGTTATTCATGGGGTCAATCAACATGCACAATGTGTCTTTGTTGTGCGCAGATTCTACACGCACTGCGATGGACACGAGCCGACCGTTCTACTCATAAAGACTACGGAGGGCGAGGTCTGTGTGTGATCCGCGATGCTGTCTCGAGCAATAAAACCGGACTAACGCGGGGGGGGGCAGGGGCACGGGATTTGGAGCCCCGCGTTTCCGGCTAGCTGAGACGTCTTGCCGAGCCCAGGGGCTTTTTTTGGCTGGCCGTCGAACAAACGCGGCGCTTTCAGGTGCGCTGCTCCGGCCGTCTGGAACGCCGCTCTTCCGATGTTAGGGAGCGCCACCGGGGAGCTGTTGTGCGCCTTTGAATCTCGACTGAAAACTCTCGTTTTCTTTTCGAAGTGTTTTTTTTTGCGTTCAGCTGCCCTACGTACGGCGCGAAAGAAGTTCGACATTCGTACGTGGTCGATGTCAAAGGCGGCCACGGCAGCCATGTGTGCTGCGTGCATGCATTTGCGTGAATGTTTTAGCGCGTGTATCTCATTTGTGTGGCGGCGGGCAGCGCACCCGTGCTGCGAACCGGGTTCGATTCCCGCTCACGGGCAACGTCGGCGACGGATATCTGAACCGGTCCTGGGTCTTGCCTAGGTCAACTCGGCCTTGAATGATTACCCGGTGCGTTAAACGTCAGCCCCGGGGTGACGAAGGTTTGAGGTGTTGGCCACCCCACCCCCTCGTGCGCTTGCCCCAGCAGTCCGTTCGAGGCCACACGGGGTAATCTTTGTCTTCGTTATTGTACAGAGCAACGTAAAAAGTAGCTGCAATATGCCGTCTGCTGTTGAGGTTTCCCTCGCTCGATGCGCTCGTAGCGGTCGTAGTATTCGTAGTAGTCGTAGGAGATTAGCGCCAAAAAAAATGGTGACGAGAGCGAAAACCCCACGACGAGACCGTCGCCTGCTAAGTAGTTGGGCACCACGGTGGCTAGGAGATGTTAACTACCTCGCATGGTACACAGGAGGTCGTGGGTTCGAACCCGACCCTGACGCCTGCTGCTGTATATTTGGAGTTTGCGTGTCTCTGTCTCTCTCATCATCATCATCACGGTGGCTAGGAGATGTTAACTACCTCGCCTGGTCTACAGGAGGTCGTGGGTTCCATCCCGACCCTGAAGCCTGCTGCTGTATATTTGGAGTTTGCGTGTCTCTCTCTCTCATCATCATCACGGTGGCTATGAGATGTTAACTACCTCGCATGGTACACAGGAGGTCGTGGGTTCGAACCCGACCCTGACGCCTGCTGCTGCTGTATATTTGGAGTTTGCGTGTCTCTGTCTCCCCGTGGTCGCGTTAATTTTTCACCGGGTCCTCCGGCTTTCACCTCCACATTTAATATCAACGTGCATTGAGAGTTTTGGCCGCTATAAACTGCCACGTGCTAAGCCACTTGGAGCTCTCATTTGTGGCCAGGTGGCTTCTGTAAAAGAGCTACATAGCTCATCTGGTAAAAGAAAAATATTTATTTAATAGTTTATAGTACACACAGTACACAATGTGGTATCTCTATGTATCTTTGTGTATGTATCGATTTATCTCTGTATATATGTGCATCGCTGTGTTTGTATCTATTTATCTCTGTTTGTATCTGAAAACATCTCTACGTATTTATCTCTTGTGTATGCATCTCTGTGTGCACGTGTCTGTGTGCACGTGTCTCTGTGTGCACGTGTCTCTGTGTGCACGTGTCTCTGAAATTGCGTAGCATCACGGACCACCCACACAGTCGCCCAACCCCCTATGCAGTGCCGGATGAAGCTAGTGCGGGGCCTGTAGCGTGATGTTTGTAAAGGGGCAATAAATAAACCACAGAAATATTAAAACATCAAAAGTTGAACTTGCATAGTCAAGTAATTGTATTTTTTCATTTTCTATACAGCCAGATACTACGACAAATCGCTAACCTTCAACACCCAGTCGTTCATAAAAGTTGAAGGGCGGTATAGTACTATAGTAATAGAGCAAGTGCAGAATCGCTGAACCGGAATTGATAGCTTGAAAGCGTTTAGCGCGGGGCCCTTGAAAGTGCGGGGCCCGTAGCATTTGTATTTAGCTACTAGGATAATGCGGCACTGCCGCACGGAACAGCTGCCTGCCGAGCAGCGCTTAAAGTACACGCATCCTATACAAGGTTGTCCCGCGTTCCGGCCGCGTTAGCCGCATCCGAGTGAATTAAAGCCACGTGGCACGACCGAAATTTGGCACCGAAATAGCCGAGCCGCATACACGGCGAGAAATCGCGCAAACCGAAGCCGCACCTAGGGAGGGAAAAACCTCTTTAGAATGTACGTCGGTTCACCGCATCCATCCACCACCACCCATCCCCCATCTCCACCACCCCTCCCCCATACTCACCCCCCCCCCCCATCCTGTACGTATGCATGTTGAACTTCTTTTGCACCGCACATGGCCAAGCGTGCTAATGGGAGGTGCGGGGCGGGGGGGAGGGTGAAGGACAACAAATGAAACACGCAAAGCAGTTCTAAAGAAATGAGTTCTCAATGTAGTGTAGTGGTGTCGTGTAGAGTGTACTGTGTAGTGTGTATAGTGTATAGTATAGTAGTGTGTTGTGTATAGTAATTTAGTCGTGTGTATGTTGAACCTCTTTCGCACCGAAAGTAGCCAGCCGTGCTAATCGGAGGATGGCGAGAGGTGGTGGCTTGTGGGAAGCCTTCATCCAGCAGTAGATTGACCATGGGGGACGATGCAATGTGTGCTTGTGTAGGTGTGTGGGGCGTTTCTCTCGTCGGACTGGGCTGAGAGGAGGAAGAGCAAAGGAACGATGAGTTTCTTTGGCACCGGGGAGTGTTTCGTGTTCAGAGTGAGTTCAGCTCTCACTCACTCAGCCGCTCACTCACTCGCTCACTCACCCACCCGCTCACTCACTCACTTGCTCACTCACCCACCCGCTCACTCACCCACCCACTCACTCACCCACTCACTCACTCACCCACCCACTCACCCACTCATTCACCCGCTCGCTCACCCACTCGCTCACCCACTCGCTCACCCACTCGCTCACCCACTCGCTCACCCACTCGCTCACTCACTCACCCACCCACTCACTCACCCACTCACTCACTCATTCACCCACTCAGTCACCCACCCGCTCACTCACCCGCCCGCTCACTCACCCACCCACTCACCCACCCACCCACCCACTCAGTCACCCACTCACTCACTCACCAACTGACCCACCCGCTCACTCCCCCCCCCACCCATTCACTCACCCACCCACTCACCCAATCTCCCACACGCTCGCCCACTCACTCTCTCACCCACTCACTCACCCCCTCACCCACCCACTCACTCACCCCCTCACCCACCCACTCACTCACCCACTCACTCACTCACCCAATCTCCCACACTCTTGCCCACGAACTTAGACGCTCGCTCAATCAATTTTACGCGCACACTCTCTCTCGATCACTCGCTCAATTATTCGCTCTCATTCATTGTCGAACTCACCTTCCTATCACCTTTTCTCATTCATTCACTCTGCCACTCAGTCCTTTAGCTCAGCCCATTGTTGCAAGTGTTGCTCCTCCACCCTCCATTGTCGTTTGGATGATGGCTGCCTCCACCTGCCAACCTTCATACGCTGCATTGTACACACACATTTGTATACACACACACTCAGATAAAGATCCTGCCCGTTAGCCTCAACAGACTGTTGGGGCAAGTGCTGTTAGCGAGCACCTACGAATGCCGGCACGGCACATTAGGGAGGTGCTTGGCCATCATCACGCCCGGCCGCCTTTGTCTCGCTGGTGGCGATGTTTACGACACAATGCACTGGGTACTCGTTTGAGGCTGAGTCAACCTAGGGGAGGTCCATGACCGGTTCAGGTAATCGTCACTGTGGTGTTGGCCGTGAGCAGGCATCGACCTTGGGCCGCAGTGCTCGTAGAGGAGCTCTATATAAAACCGGGAGCAAGCGAGGGCTTTACCATTCTGGCGAATTGCCCGATGACGCTGGATGTATTTACCAGCGAAACGTCGTACTCAAACTGTAAATGTGGATTCACTCTTCAACACACCGGTGGGCTGAAGTAGTGAATTATTTGTCTTTTGTCAACGTGACACTTTTTTTGCTGATTGGCCGTGTCGGGTGGTGGAGAGTTATGACACATTTATAAATAAACGCGATCTAACCCAAAAACCTTTATTATGAATAATATTGGTCGCGAAAGCCTACGTGTTAAACTGACTTAAATACTCTTTTGAATCTCGATTGAAAACTAATTTCTTCACAACTGCTTTTTGTGTTTAGCTGGTTGTCCTTCCCCCGCACCTCCGATTAGTGCGGTTGGCTACGTACGGTGCAAAAGAAGTTCTACATACGTACAACCGACTACACTACTATAGACGACTATACACTACTATACACTACACTATACATTGCACTACTACACACTGTACTACTACAAACTACACTACTGTACGTTACATGACTATACACCACTCTGCTACACGACTACACACTACACTACTATACACTACACGACTATACACTACACTACGATACACTACACTATACGACTATACACTACACGACTATACACCACACTATACGACTATACACTACACGACTATACACTACACTACTATACACTACACTACTATACACTACACTACTATACACTACACTACTATACACTACACTACTATACACTACCCTACTATACACTACCCTACTATACACTACACTACTATACACTACACTACTATACACTACACTACTATACACTACACTACTATACACTATACCCTACTATACACTACACTACTATACACTACGATACACTATACCCTACTATACACTATACCCTACTATACACTATACACTACTATACACTACACTACTATAATACACTACTATACACTACACTACTATATACTATACACTACACACTACACTACTATACACTACACTACTATACACTATACCCTACTATACACTATACACTACTATACACTACTATACACTACACTACTATACACTACACTACTATACACTACACTACTATACACTATACACTACGCTACTATACACTATACACTACGCTACTATACACTATATGCTACACTACTTTACACTACACTACTATACACTACTATACACTATACCCTACTATACACTATACCCTACTATACACTACTTTACACTATACACTACACTACTAAACACTACACTACTATACACTACATTACACTATACACTACGCTACTATACACTACGCTAATATACACTATACGCTACTATACACTATACACTACTATACACTACACTACTATACACTATACTACTATACACTACACTACTATACACTACTATACACAACACTACTATACACTACTATACACTACTACACACTACTATACACTATACACTACTATACACTATGCTATACACTATACACTACACTACTATACATTACACTACTATACACTACTATACACTATACACTACTATACACTACACTACTATACACTACTATACACTATACTACTATACACTACTAAACAACATTGAGAACTAATTTCTCTAGAACTGCTTCTTGTCGTTGTTGTTTAGTTTGCTGTCCTTCCCCCTCCCCCCCGCACCTCCGATTAGCGCGGTTGGCTACTTGCGGCTCGCAAGACGTTCATACGTGAATACATACGCGTGCACTTGTACACACACACACACACACAATTCCACATTCCCCACGCGGCAGCTGCACCCGGAGGTGGAACGCTACGAGTGGGTGGTGATCAGACACCCGGAGCTGGTGCAGGCAGAGAGCGACGTGGGTGATGCGCCGGAGATCGCGGGGCAGGGCACCGCCGTCTCCCCCTTGCCCGCCGGGGTTGCAGAGCCACGCTCGGATCGCCTGTCGCCCTTCCTGGCGACCAAACACTTCGGGCTGCCCAGCAAAACCGCATCCATGTTCATGGCCGGGAATGCGGAGAGCATCATTATAGGTGGGTGGTGTGTGCGTGTGGTGTAGTGTGCGTGGTGTGGGGTGTGTGTGTGGGGTGTGTGTGGTGTGTGTGGTGTGTGCGGTGTGTGCGGTGTGTGTGGTGTGTGGTGTGGGGTGTGTGTGTGGTGTGTGTGGTGGTGTGTGCGGTGTGTGGGGTGTGTGTGGGGTGTGTAGTGTGTGTGTGTGGTTTGGGGTGTGTAGTGTAGCGGTTAGCGCGCTGCGCTATGAACCTGGCGACCCGGGTTCGATTCCCGCTCACGGCGAACATCATTGACGATTATCTGAACCAGTCCCGGGCCTCCCCTAGGTCGACTCAGCCTCAAATGAGTACCTGGTGCGGTGTGTAAATATCGCCACTAGGGAGACAAAGGCGGTCGGGCGTGGTGCTGGCCACCCACCCCCTCGTGTACCGTTCCGGTCTTCATAGGTGCTCGCTAACAGCACTTGCCCCTACAGTCTGTTGAGGCTATACGGGGGATCTTTGATCTTTGATCTTTGTGGTGTGTGTGGGGTGTGTGTGGGGTGTGTGTGGGGTGTGTGTGGTGTGTGGGTGGTGTGTGTGTGTGTGGTGGTGTGTGTCAGTCAGTGGGGATCGGTGATGTAGTCGCGGTTAGTGCGCTGCGCTACAGACCCGGCGACCCGAGTTCGATTCCTGCTCACGGCCATTGCCAGTGACAATTATCCGAGCCGGTCCTGGCTCTCTCTTAGGTCGACTAGGCCTCAAATGAGTACCTGGTGCCTTCCTTCATAGGTGCTGCTGCTCGCTAACAGCACTTGCCCCAGCAGTCTGTTGAAGGCTATACGGGGGGGGGGGTGGAATCTTTGTCTTTGTTGTCTTTTGTTGTGCTGTGCGTGCGCAGGTGGCGGTGGCGGTCAGGCCCTCTATCTCGACTCCGAGCTGAACCACGGACGCACGGCACCCTGCGACACGTTCGCCAACCCGCCGCTGTGCACGGAGACCTTTCAGGTGCAGATCCTGGAGGTCTGGGGCTTTGCCGAGAGTGGCCAATGACCTCCTCCCGCAAAAGCCTTGAACCACAACACCCCCTTTTTTCCCCCACTGGCACACACCGAAGCCGGGTCAACCCCCTCCCCATCGGGGGTACCTTCTTCCCGTTTGTCGAGCTGAGTTCGTGACCGACAGCCGGCTTCGCTGGATAATCCGAATCTGGCTTTGGGGCCAAGCAGGGCCAGGCGGCCGGGCTAACGGTGAATAAAGTTTGAGGTGTGACGTCGGCGGCACGACTTCGGCTCTTGCGGTGGGGAAAAAAGTATCCTGGCGCCTTCATCAATCGCGGCATAACCTGGGGTACTCTTCTGTCGCTACCGCCACGGTTACCGCTCCCGGGAACGTCGCTCACCGATTCTCTCGCTCAAGCGGCGACCAGTCACCTCCTCGCCACTCTTCTGTCGCTACCGCCACGGTTACCGCTCCCGGGAACTTCGATCATTGCTTTCTCTGCCCATGTGAAAGACTCGGCCTTCCAGACTGACTTTTGTCTCATCCGCCCTGTTCAACCACCACCATACTGCAGGTCACAACAACACACTCACCCATTCACCCACCTACTCGCCATACTGCAGGTCACAACAACACTCACTCACCCATTCACCCACCTACTCGCCATACTGCAGGTCACAACAACACTCACTCACCCATTCACCCACCTACTCGCCATACTGCAGGTCACAACAACACACTCACCCATTCACCCACCTACTCGCCACACTGCAGGTCACAACAACACTCACTCACCCATTCACCCACCTACTCGCCATACTGCAGGTCACAACAACACTCACTCACCCATTCACCCACCCACTCGCCATACTGCAGGTCACAACAACACGCTCACCCATTCACCCACCTACTCGCCACACTGCAGGTCACAACAACACTCACTCACCCATTCACCCACCTACTCGCCATACTGCAGGTCACAACAACACTCACTCACCCATTCACCCACCCACTCGCCATACTGCAGGTCACAACAACACTCGCTCACCCATTCACCCACCTACTCGCCATACTGCAGGTCACAACAACACACACTCACCCATTCACCCACCTACTCGCCATACTGCAGGTCACAACAACACACTCACCCACTCACCCATTCACCCACCTACTCGCCATACTGCAGGTCACAACAACACTCACTCACCCATTCACCCACCTACTCGCCATACTGCAGGTCACAACAACACACACTCACCCATTCACCCACCTACTCGCCATACTGCAGGTCACAACAACACTCACTCACCCATTCACCCACCTACTCGCCACACTGCAGGTCACAACAACACACTCACCCATTCACCCACCTACTCGCCACACTGCAGGTCACAACAACACTCACTCACCCACTCACCCATTCACCCACCTACTCGCCATACTGCAGGTCACAACAACACACACTCACCCATTCACCCACCTACTCGCCATACTGCAGGTCACAACAACACACTCACCCACTCCCCCACCTACTCGCCATACTGCAGGTCACAACAACACTCACTCACCCATTCACCCACCTACTCGCCATACTGCAGGTCACAACAACACACACTCACCCATTCACCCACCTACTCGCCATACTGCAGGTCACAACAACACTCACTCACCCATTCACCCACCTACTCGCCATACTGCAGGTCACAACAACACACTCACCCATTCACCCACCTACTCGCCATACTGCAGGTCACAACAACACACTCACCCATTCACCCACCTACTCGCCATACTGCAGGTCACAACAACACTCACTCACCCATTCACCCACCTACTCGCCCACCCACCCACTCACCACACTGCAGGTCACAACAACACATTCACCCACTCACCACACTGCAGGTCACAACAACACACTCACCCATTCACCCACCTACTCGCCCACCCACCCACTCACCACACTGCAGGTCACAACAACACACTCACCCATTCACCCACCTACTCGCCCACCCACCCACTCACCACACTGCAGGTCACAACAACACACTCACCCATTCACCCACCTACTCGCCACACTGCAGGTCACAACAACACACTCACCCACTCACCCATTCACCCACCTACTCGCCACACTGCAGGTCACAACAACACACTCACCCATTCACCCACCTACTCGCCACACTGCAGGTCACAACAACACTCACTCACCCACTCACCCATTCACCCACCTACTCGCCATACTGCAGGTCACAACAACACACACTCACCCATTCACCCACCTACTCGCCATACTGCAGGTCACAACAACACACTCACCCACTCCCCCACCTACTCGCCATACTGCAGGTCACAACAACACTCACTCACCCATTCACCCACCTACTCGCCATACTGCAGGTCACAACAACACACACTCACCCATTCACCCACCTACTCGCCATACTGCAGGTCACAACAACACTCACTCACCCATTCACCCACCTACTCGCCATACTGCAGGTCACAACAACACACTCACCCATTCACCCACCTACTCGCCATACTGCAGGTCACAACAACACACTCACCCATTCACCCACCTACTCGCCATACTGCAGGTCACAACAACACTCACTCACCCATTCACCCACCTACTCGCCCACCCACCCACTCACCACACTGCAGGTCACAACAACACATTCTCACCCACTCACCACACTGCAGGTCACAACAACACACTCACCCATTCACCCACCTACTCGCCCACCCACCCACTCACCACACTGCAGGTCACAACAACACACTCACCCATTCACCCACCTACTCGCCCACCCACCCACTCACCACACTGCAGGTCACAACAACACACTCACCCATTCACCCACCTACTCGCCACACTGCAGGTCACAACAACACACTCACCCACTCACCCATTCACCCACCTACTCGCCACACTGCAGGTCACAACAACACTCACTCACCCATTCACCCACCTACTCGCCATACTGCAGGTCACAACAACACTCACTCACCCATTCACCCACCTACTCGCCATACTGCAGGTCACAACAACACTCACTCACCCATTCACCCACCTACTCGCCATACTGCAGGTCACAACAACACTCACTCACCCACTCACCCACCTACTCGCCACACTGCAGGTCACAACAACACTCACTCACCCATTCACCCACCTACTCGCCATACTGCAGGTCACAACAACACTCACTCACCCATTCACCCACCTACTCGCCATACTGCAGGTCACAACAACACTCACTCACCCATTCACCCACCTACTCGCCCGCCCACCCACTCACCACACTGCAGGTCACAACAACACACTCACCCATTCACCCACTCACTCACCACACTGCAGGTCACAACAACACACTCACCCACTCACCCATTCTCCCACCCACTCGCCACACTGCAGATCACAACAACACACTCACCCACTCACCCACCCACTCACCCACCCACTCACCCACCCACTCACCCACCTACTCGCCACACTGCAGGTCACAACAACACACTCACCCACTCACCCACCCATTCACCCACCCACTCGCCCACCTACTCACCACACTGCAGGTCACAACAACACACCCACCCATTCACCAACCCAATCACCACACTGCAGGTCACAACAACACACTCACCCACCCACTCGCCACTCTGCAGGTCACAACAACACACCCACCTATTCACCCACCCACTCGCCACACTGCAGGTCACAACAACACACCCACCCATTCACCCACTTACTCGCCCGCCCACTCGCTACACTGCAGGTCACAACAACACACCCACCCACTCACCCACTCACTACACTGCAGGTCACAACAACACACTCACCCATTCATCCACCCACTCGCCCGCCCACTCACTACACTGCAGGTCGCTTTCACTCATCTATCTGCTCCTTCTCTCGCACTGCTCCACTTTGGAATCCCCCCCCCCCCGTCTCTTCCTCCAGCTCCTTATAACTTTTCTCAATTCAAGAAACATATTAACTTATTCTCATCTAGTATACTTTCACAAGTGCTGTACGTTGCTGCTGTCCAATTAGCCATTTGGGCCAATTGAGCCTGTGTTTGGCAATAATTGTATTTTGTCTTCAGTTAAAGTTCCAAAAAAACTTTCAAGTGACTTTGAGATGTGCCACAATGCGACCCACCCCCTTCCAAAAAAGAGAAATGGTACATTCCAGACTTCATACCCCAGGAATGTTCCATCCCTCTTGAGGGGTGGGTACCATCAAAATGATACGTTGGAATACCTTTTAGCTTTCTGTATTCGTAACCTTTATGTAAAGTTCCGCGTGTAAACTTTACTCAATGTACCCTTTCACTGTTGCAATCTCCACAAGGCAGCTACTGTGTTACATGACATATCCGTGTTGGAGTTTGCGCCGCTAGTTGAGTATTTTCTTAGAACCCCGAGTTACAGCAACTGCAGGGCAGAATTTCCTCTTCAAATATTGTCCGGGTCGCTGTGTGGGTGGTACGCGACAAGTCAGCTAAACTTTTTTTTTATTTTTTTATTTTTTACCACGTAAGGCCCACTGAGCTATGTAGATCTCTTTTTCAGAAAGCGACCTGGCCACAAGTGATAGCTCAACAAAGTGGCTCACGGTCACGTGGGCATGTATAGCAGCCAAATACTGTAAACGCTTGATGTTGATTCTAAATATGGAGGGAAAAGCGTTGACCAGACTCCAAATATATATAGCAGCAGGCGTCAGGGACGGGATCGAACCCACGACCTCCTGTATACCGGGCGATGTAGCTCACATCTAGCCACCATGGCACCTTGCAGTAGTAACCACAGCCCATGGCGAGAGAGATAACGACAGGTTTCCCCCGCTCCATGCGGGTTCAGTTTGCGCAGTTTCGCGCTGTACCGGCGGCTAAGCCATTTCTACCCTACGCGGTTTGAATTCGCTCGTATGCAGCTATGCGGTCAGATGCATTTTCTCTTTGTAACGTCCCTTTTTTTTTATGCATCCACCACTACTACTACGACGACGACGACCACCGCATAGTGCGAGGAGATACCTGTAGTGGGTGCGGTGTGTCGGGTGCGACCTGGACACGCATTTAAAGCCCCGCTTGCAATTTGCCCTCACTTACCGCGAGCATGGCAGTCGATTTCTAACGGATTGAATCTACCGTCGCTCGTTCTTCTCTGCTTTCCCCACTGTCGACTTCCTGCCCCTGTACAAGTGCAGGCTCTTCAACTTCCCCTTCTCCTCTGCCTCTGACCAACTGCCTCTCTCTCCCTCTCTCTCTATAAAATAAAACTATGCCCACAGTTTC